TAACTGATTTTCATGAGGGCATCTCATATCCCATTTGCCAATAAATCTCGATAAGCTAGTTAAATAACTGATTTCATAAACACGTGATAATCATGACTCTTCATTCCATATAATTCGCAATCATTTAAATTCACTAACTTTGATATTTTTGAAACATGTTCATTAGAAAAACATAAACTTTTAAGACATTGGTAGACAAATATTTTTTTAAGATGAAGCTAGCTTTAGACTTTATAACCCATGATTCATCATAAATCAACTCCATATTTTTACAGTGACAAAAAATTCATCATAAATCAACTCCATATTTTTACCGTGACAAAACAAAGATATATTTATTCTAGCATTGATGTTATCTTTTGTCTTCCCTTTCACATCTATAATCGTGTTGAAAATATTTTCAAGCATGTTCTTTTGAATGTACATAACATCAAAATTATGGCGAAGAAGATTAGTTTTCCAATAAAAAAGCTTCTAGAAAATACTTTATTTTATCTAATTATGAGTCAAACCAAAATAAAAAAAATTTATTTACCGAAATGAAAACCAAATATAATATCTTTATACTTTGATACCATATTGTACAATTCTTCACCCAACAATAGCAGCGATGCAACATTCCTTTCAACTTTGCCAACAAAAAAGTCCTTTATATTTTTTTTGTACTTGTAATCTGATGATAAAAACCACCTGTGATAATCAAAAGAAGATATTTTACCATCATTTATTAACGTGAAGGCATTTTTTATTTTCCATGAAATATGAATATGCTAGTTTTTCATATATGCTCTAACTAGAAATCATTCCATACACAAGAAAATCATTGAAAATCCACATTAAAGTTGCATTCATCTGAAACTTATGTTTCCTTAATGCATAATTTGTTAAAGCCCCGGATGACCACAATTGCTTAAGCTTATCAATCAATAGATGAAGACAAACATCTATTTTCTGACATAGACTATTAAGACCGAGTATAATTGTAGATAAAAATATGAGCTTCATTCTCCTATATATTTTCAGTCACAAGTTGTAAACCATGAGCATCATCGACTAATAAGAATAAGGGGTAGCAAATGACCCGAATGAATTGAATTCTTCCATACATATCCCAATACATACATTCCTTGATTTCACTAAAAATTAAGAATGTATCCAATTAAAATATTTTTAGGCTTCACCATTAGAATGGTGCATCATTACTCTATCTACCACATTATGTGAATAATATCATGTCATGTACTTAACAATCTTTGATGACATGATTAACCTTTGCAGTTCAAAATAATACTATTTAAAAAAAAATTAAAAATAAAATCATATCTCATTTGAGATTTGCTTGAGTTGATATATTAAGTCAATTGAGTTTGATATGATCAAGTATCAATTGGTTTAATATAAAACTCAGGTTCAGTCAAATTGAATTTAATAACATTGATAAAATTCATATAGATACCTCTCAATTTATATAAATATTATTAGAAATTTTGTTAAACAATTAGATCAATCCAAAATAATATTATTAAAAAAATCAAATCATATCTCATTTGAGATTTAACTAAGTCATGAGTTGACCTATTAAATCAATTGTGTATGATCTGATCATGTCTCACTCAGTGCAAGAAAAAACAAAGGTTAAACCGGATCAAGTTTAATAACATTGATAAAACTCATACAAATTTCTTTTGATTTATATAAATGTCATTGAATATATTTACAATAAAGATAGATAGCATTATAATTTACAAATGATAGTCTTAATTAACTTTTAGTCTTGCATTGAATTGTTGATGGAGGGTAAATGTTATAGAATTAACTTTAATGGTGATGTATATTACATGGATATATATGTGTGTATAGTGCCATCTGTAATCAAATACATGCATGCATGCATGTAACCAAATTTGTAGGTGATGGCAAATCAGTCCTCCATAGTTATGAGTACAAGTTTTTATATTTTTGGAGAAATTATGAATATAATCGAAAGTCAAAACCCTAGTTCAGGCAAGAAACCAAAAAATAAATAAAAAATCCAAAGTATGAGTCCTCGTGCTGCCAGTGATGTCATTGAGATGCATTCCAGACAGTACCACTAGCTAGTGATTCTAATTAATATCCTTAATTTTGCATTCAATGTATCTAAATGAATATAGTACACAACACGTATGATTCTGGTTTGATTATGATCCAAACATGTTCCTCGGATTAATAATTGAATAGGTTGAAGTTGAGTTTATTTACTCTGTATTCTAAATAGTGTTTTATACTTATACTTATTATTATTATTAAGGAAATCAAGAGTTTTTTTAATATCACGAATTCCGTGCATAGCTTTAATTTTAAATTACGTGGGCCACCTAAAAAACCTTAATGCTGCAGGAGATTTTGCCATTAAAATTTTAAGCAAATCAATGCCCATTCACCAAACATGAGTTTTGAAAGGACATTTCATAAGTTTAATTCAAAGTTTCATATTTAAAATTATTGGATGAGATTTCGCTGTGATTACTGAGAAAACCAGGTTTGGTGAATGGTAATAAAGAAGAACTTTCAAACTGAGGAGGCATGAATGCTAACTAAGTTCAGCAGGTGTATAAGAGAAATAGTATGCAAAAAAATTGAAGTATACAAAAGTATTGAATTATAGAAAAATTATGACTAAATGTGTTTATCTGATGAACTGATTTATTTATAAACCTTAATCATGCCAGCTTACTTCAATATATAATGAATTAAATATTAGTGAAAAATATTGGTTTTCATTATTAGTTATTGTATGATGATTCTTTATTGGTGAAGATATTAATGATTATCAGTGGCATGTTAACTAAAATTAACTATTAATCAAAAATAAAAATATTTGATTTTAATAGTACATGATGCAGTTTGCATTGAAACCATTATCTAAAAATAAAACACCAAACCTACATAAGATTGTATACTTTAAAAGAATCTACCATGAGAGCATTGAAAGAAAATATTTAAGGGTACATGACAATAACTAAAAATGTTTTAGCTATTAGTCGAAATCTAAATAATTTTTTTAGGATTCAAAATTAAAAAGAAAAGGATGAGAGTTTGTTTGAGCTACCAACCCAAACAAACTACTAATTTTTTTTATAAAGAAATGTGTATTATCATGTAAGATAGAAATGCTAACTAAACTCAAATAAATCTAAGAAAATGAACTCAAATTTGAATTATAAAGTGTCTATGCAAATCTCAGCCTTAACCATAGCTAGACTATCAGATCATGAATTTATCTCCGTCTTTTTTTAACTTGAACTTGAACCTATAAGCAAAAGGTTATGATTTACTAAATGAAATTAATTACGCTCATTTTTTGTGTTCAACGTTTTTTTTTTTTTTGGTATACAAAATGAGAGGCAAGAAGGCTGCCCCAAACTTCAGCAGCTATAAAAAACCAGAAAGAGTTTATTTGTTGAAAACAAAAGGAATTTTTTCACTGAAAAAAATAAGTAAATCAAGATTATAACTATTTTTTTATTAAAAATCAAAACCATATAATAATGATCATGATGTTTTATATTCGTGATAGTTTTACTGTAGAATACTAATTTTATTTTATTTAAAGAAATTTTTTTTTATAAAAAAGTTATATTATTAACTCAAAGAATCTTTATATTAAATATATAATAAGAATTAAATTTATTACAATAACTAAATATAATAATATAATAATTTTAATCTCTTTGCATTGTTAAAAAGGATCTGTGTATATTAAAAAATATATTTTCCTTGAAAAATAGTAGAAAAATTATATTGAAAAAATACGGGAGAATCTCTAAAATATATTTTTCAAATAGAAAAACTCGATTTTTTGTTTTTCAGTTGTCGGAACGGAGAAATGTTATATTTGAACAGATGTTATAGTTTTCCCTTCGTCTTTTTTTTTTTTACTTTAATTCCTAGAAAAGTAGAGTATTGCTTCCCTTTTTAACTGCCCCTTGTTTGAGCCCCCTGTTTGTGCTCCTCACGGGTGAAATATCATATAACCCAATTTATTATTTTTATTTTTGACCCCATTCTGAGTAAAGCTAATGCAACAAACAAGAGCTGCAGGATGCTTAGAAAAACACAGAGACAGACAGAGAGAGAGAGCGCAGTGCTAGACATCCCACATCTAGCAGGTGAAAATGTTGGATAAGATATTGATGTACTGACCACAAACGATCCATACAAGGGAAGCCAAGTCTACCTGAAAACTATACAACCAACAACTTGTAAACTTGTTGCTGCATGCCTCCTCCAGATTTTCCCTACCTGGTACTCAACAGGAAAAATAAATATGAAAATATATAATGTTTCCATATATTTATTGCTTAAAATTAGAAGATATATAATATGCTGTCAAATTAATAGTTGAAGAAAACACATTGCATATTGGAAGAGGAGATAGTGCTGGATGAGCTGCAGAGAAGGGTTAAATTATAGTTATATACCATGAAGATTCATCGTGAATTTTTTCCTTTTTCTGTATTCACTTTCTATTCTTGGCTTTCAAATAATATTTTATGGTTTGACCTCTACAAGCACCGTCACTTTTAGAATTTCATGCATAATGTTGGCAGGCACATGGTTAGACAAGAGCATGGACTGGTAGGTTTATGGAAATTTTACCATCTAACAGTCATGCATGCAATGCATGCTTGTACTACAATAGCTCTTGCATATGATCAAGAATGGCTGACTCGGCCTTTCGTGTCGACAGCAAACGGTCCTACCAAGTTAGACAGATTCAGCGTTGATATTTCATAACTGGTATTCGAGAACCCTCCATCCCATGCCAAAACTACGAAATCATGTAAGCTCAGCTTAGATACAGTAAACATTGAAGTCAAGGAGGTAACACAGCATGGATGGACATATTTAGCCTTTGGAACTTTCATTAGCAAATTGATGGCCTTGAAATTTGACTAGCAGTTGGCTGTCCAACAGTCTAATATATTTGTTTTATCCTTGAGAAAGTTCATTAGTTATTGCTTTTCCGATGACTCTGCTAGAATTAACAATAGTCTAGCTCACAACTCCGAGGAGCCCAACTGTTTTCTTGGACATTGATTGACTGGTGTCTATTCATTATCCTACCTGTAAAAGAGCTAACCATCTCAGTTTTCTAGTTTTACATTTCTGAAGAACAACTATTATTTTGACAGCGAGATTACTATCGATTACAAAGTCTATAAATACACCAACCTGCTTGCAAAGCAGGTGAGGGCTTGGGATTCGAGTCTTGTCCTTGCCGTCTGATGAATATAAAGAAGCGGTTAGAAGATGAGAGGAACGGTTAGTAGGACAAATTCAAACATTGGTTTATTGTGAAATCTCCTTGCGACTTTTTCTTTAGTTTGTTCACCTGCTCAGCTTTATACTTACAGATGTCAACAACTATTGGTTGGTTTTGCTACCAAGTTACTAGGAGGGTTTTGGTTCACGGGACATGCTGAAAGGCTTTTAATGATCATACATGAAATAATTAAGGACTATTGACAAGAATATTTTGAGTTTCAGAGATTATTTAGAATTTTATAATAAATAGGGATTTGTTACAAGAATTTTTATAAGAGTAATTCAAGGTGAATCTACATGTTATTATTCATGTGTGAAGATTTTAGCTTCATCACAATCCATTCAGAAAAGTAAGTGATTTATGAGGTCTTTTTAGATGTTAATGGGGATAATGGCAGGTGCCAACCATGGTTCGCATTATCTATATGGACAGGGGTGACTGAAGGTGAGCATGCTGATGCAGCTCAAGAGTTCTTTCAATGGCGGAAAAGAGTACTTCAAGCAGGTAGTGAATGTCGAAAGATTCTTGCATGTGACTTCACTGGTAATTAATACCAGAGACAATAGCAATTCCTTATTGCTCATCGATAGCCTCCTTCACTGTATCAACTAGCTAGCTAAGGGTATTCTAACAGGAGCAAGAAGGCCACTCTTGAAGATGTGAGTCTGATCCACGGTAGCCTGACTCAGATAATTTTGGAAGAATGTAATGTGCGTGTAAAGCGTGGAATTTGCTTCTATTGTGTGTTTGGGTCTCAAATTTTGATCTTTTTTTTTTATATTAGTTTATTTATTTATTTAGTGCGTGTAAAGCGTGGAATTTGCTTCTATTGTGTGTTTGGGTCTCAAATTTTGATCTTTTTTTTTTATATTAGTTTTTTTTTTATCAATTCTTCTTGTTTTAAATTAGTTTGTGGCCCAAAGTCTTATCCATTCTTCTTCTTCTTGTTGTTGTTTCCCTTTATATATCATTCTATGTATAAACCGTATGCATTCTTGTCACTCGAGACCACTTAAATTACTAGAGCAACGATTCTCATGACTGTCTTCTCGTAGTGACACTAAGACAATCCGGCTCAAACCTGATGTAAGGATATGCTTGGGCCTTCCCAATCCAATAAATGTTCAAGTAATATTTCAATATTTATCTCTCTATATCCTCAGGACCACAGCATAATTTCCAGAGTAGAACATCTTATTATTATTATTATTATTATTATTATTCTTATTATTATTCTTTTTTATAATTATTATTATTATTTGTGTTTTAAGGATTTTCAAAAAAATCCAACGTGAAATTTAATAAAAATGAGCTTTACATCTTATTTGATTAGATCAGTGTTAGTTAAATAGAGTTGAAATTTGATCACATTGTTTTCAAAGCTTGATTACGAAAAGCCAACTAATTTTTGTTTTCAAGCCAAGCTTAGATCCGGAAAATATTGTTTTGGGATTTTCTTTACTTTATTTTTTATTTTCTATTTAAATTAGGATACTGGATTTAATTAGAACTTCACTAATTATAATATCTTTTGTTGTATTTAAATATAGCTTTGTAAGTTATTTTTCAAAAAACATTTATAAAATAAACAACTTTCAAAATATATTAGAGTTTTCTCCCCTGTTAAATTGCTTGAGAAACCAAAACTTTCTCTCTTTAGTTAGAACAATGAAACTTTAAAAACAAATTAAAAAAAAAAAAACTATTTAAGCTGAACGTGCATCCCAATTCACCAGCAAGTTTGTGATAGGAATGGTGGTTTTGGGCGTTTAGGTGAATGATGGGACTTTCCTACTGTTAGATTGGATAAGGGACGCCTTTCATTTTGAGTCGCCTGTTTACCGGTAAGTAGACATCTCTATCCTTGCCGATGTAGTTTTAAGCCTGCCGGTGAGCAATATTCAATTTTTTATCTACTAAACAAAAGCATAGTGGAGCTGGTAGGTATATATTTTATAGCGTTTGCATTAGGTTTAGCCACCAAAGAAATTATTTGTGCCTCTAATTTTTTCTTCTTAAAATAATTTTTAATATTTTTTTACGTGGTTTTGATTGTTAACAGCAAACACAATAGGACTGAGACTGGGTTTTAGAATCATAATCAGCATTAGCAGAAGTCTTAATTCATTATCCATTAACCTGCAAAATACTCTCCCTTTCAACTCTCAACCCTGCAAGTCTTGACTTCTGGATTTTAAATAGTTATTTTTCTAGAGACATTACCTGCCATTTCATGCAAATTATTTAATAATAATAATCTTTGATTAGGGCTCAGATAAGGCAGATTCAATCCATAAACAAGCAGTATCAACCTCGAAGAATAATAATAATAATAATAATAATAATAATAATAATAATAATAATAATAATAATAATCTCTGATTAGGGCTCAGATAAGGCAGATTCAATCCGTAAACAAGCAGTATCAACCTCGAAGCAAATGACTAAAAAGACTTGAAAGTAGAAGCCTAATTACAACAGCATAAGAAAAAAAAACCCACCTTTCAAAGCTATGACTAGAGGAAGCAAAACTACTAGCGAACGAAAATCTCAATGCTTAAACAAGAATTAGAAGATAACTAGTGATGTAATACAGTTTTTGGCCTCCTATTTTTATATATTTCAAGAAATTAGAAAAATATTAAAACAATATATCGTTTCAGTGATTTTAAGTTAGTTTTAATTATTTCATTATTTTCTTTATTTTTATTTAATTTTTGTGTGAGAAATCTTGAAAATCATAAATAAAATAAAAAACTAAAAAAAATAGCTGTTGTTTGAAATTGGACCAATAATTGAGAATTACAAGTAAACAAAATTGAGTTTGGGAGTTTGGGGCTATAAACCAGGTTTTAATTGAAAAGAAATTTAAAAAAAAGGGCTTAATTAATTTAATTTGATTAAAAATAAAATAAATTTAAAATTTAATGATGACTTTAAAATGAATAGCCAAGTTAGAAGTCAATTAAGAGCCCAATTAAAAAATAATAATTTGCAAGTGGAAGTCAATTTGGTTGAATCGGGTTGAAATTCGCGAGAATAATCTTGAAAAAAAACAAATTGAAAAACTCAATCACGAATTAACTCAATGTTAAAGAATAAAATTAATAAAAAGATAACATTTATTTAAAAAAAAATAAGCGAACTCAAGTCAACAAAGCAAGTTCATGATGCAAGTCTTACACATCATCATATTAAAAAAAAATTATTTCAAAGATTATTTTTTATTTAATTATATGACAATAAATTGCATGATAATTTCTTTATATCAAATATTTATTTAAGTAAAAAAATTATGATAGCAATATGGTGTTGAGATAGTAAAACTACATCATTGTTAACAAAGGTTTCTTATCCAATTTTATTCCCTAATTTTCCATCCTTTTTTCTTTTTGCTTTATCACATGTCTCTTTGATACTCCAACTCTTTCCTTTTATCTTTACCCTCTAACACATTAGAAATAAATTAATATTCACAAGGCAATAGATTGAGAGCCATGATTAAAAATAAAAATGAAATAAAAAGTCTAATAAAAAAATAACAAAATAAAGATGAAAAATAACAAAACTAACTCAAATAACATATTCTAAATTAGAGACCTTTCGATACTCGACTGGTTACAATAACCTAACCTCTTGTAAGGATAGGCCTTTAAAACCTTTTGGTCAAATTTAAGCATGATCCAACTATTAAATCAAATTTATAGGCCTTTTTCCGATTTCATCAATCATATATATTCATACAAAACTATCTATGTAGCTTAGTTATTAGTGTTTTTTAACTCGGCTCGGTGGTTGACCCAAGTCATTAGTTTTGACCGGTCACCCAAGTCAATCCTAACTTCTTCTTTTTTATATAAATCAAAATGATGTTATTTTGATAAAAAAAAAATAAAAAAAAATAGTTAATGAGTTGCAACTGGATTTTTTATTGAGTCAACCTGTCGAGTCAATCGAGTTTTTAATTACCTTTACTTTTTTTATAAAATTGACCCAGTTCCAATCACGGGTCAGCCGGGTCCCAAGTCAATTTGTCGAGCTAGATTTTAAAACTATACTAGTTATAATAGATCCACAACTAACTCATCATAATCATTTACATCAACAACTAAAAGAGAAGTGTTCCACTAACAACAAAACATGGAAAGATGAGAACATAAAAGATAGTTGAATGCGAGGCTAAGGATGAATGCATAAAAAGCTATAAGAAAAACCACAGTTATTAAATCTGGTCTGGCGGGCGACTTGAAGACTAGATTGATTTGGGTTTGTTAAAAGACTAATCAGTGCAACAACTCGTCAAAACTCAGTTGACTCATGACCTAAGTGAACCTGGACGAGACTTGATGTTTTTTTTTTCAAATATGGTTTTTCTCCTATACTTCTTTTTTTTTCATTTTGTTGGTTATTGATATTTTTTAAAATTCATTATATAATTATTAGAAAAATATTTTATTATTTTAATGTGAGATTTGAAATCCTTTTATATACCAAATCGAGTCTAATAACTATGAAAAAAACTACTACAACAATAATAAATAATAAAGAAACTACTTTATAGAACGCAAATACCATTAACTCTAATATTTTATCAAAGTTAAGGGAGACACGTAGAACTCATAATATTATAAAAATATAATAAAAATAGATTATAAGGCTTGTATAGGTCTTAGTTTTAATCCAAAGTAGCATTTCCATGCAATGTCATTAGTTTTTGTCATAATAACGTTAACATATGAATAAAGAAGCAGAACTAGTATCTTCAATCAAAAAGAGAGAAGAACAAGAGATTGGTTATAAAAGGGTTGTTTATCTTCTTCTTCTTCTTCTTTTATATATATATATATATATATTTT